CTTTCTAGTCTGAATTATCTGAGATATAGTATACACATTTATAAAGACCGATACTGTGTCTTCATGCCTTTTATTCTTATTTCTACTTAGGAGAACATCTGAGATCTTCTTAAAGTTTCCTGAGCTATATGAAGGAGCAGCATATGAGCAATAACATTGTCGTCTTTGTCCTAAAAACTCAAATAAGATCATTCAGGATATTAAATTGTGTTTTCAAACTCACACAGAACCTGTCCTTTCCCTTTTTTCTCAGTCTTTAGTGGTAAAGTGCCGCTCGTCATACATAAAAACATCCTCTACGTCTTCTGGTTTCTCCTTCTGGTTGCCTAAGGTCCTTAAGATCCAGTCTTATTCAATCCAGTGAAGACCAATGAAGACCAGTCTTATTCAATCAGGCGAGTATTATTTATTAACGTTCATCTCAATGAACTAGAATCTTCCATCGAGACACACGTGCTCTGCTTGCTCCGGTCACACAGAGTGCCGCTGTCTCTCTCTGTGCTGCTGGTTCATGTGTGTGTAATCCTGTCTCACACACTCACCTACAGACAGGTGACTCACCACTGACCCCTTCTGCCGCGGGATTACAGCGTCCAGCTGTCTGTCACTCACTCCACATGCAAGCAGAATTTAGGTTTGTGTGTCTGGCTCCAATTTTGTGTTGCTATGTGGTTGCTAGGGCGTTGCTATGCAGTCACTGAGTGTTAAGTGGTTGCTGGAGTGTTGTAAGTTCTTTCATGGTGGTTGCCATGGTTTTCTGCATAGTTTTCAATGGTGTTTTGAGTGGTTGCTTACATTGTTAGGTGGTTGCTGGGGTGTTGCTATACAGTTGCTGTGTGATCTAAGTGGTTGCTAGAGTGTTCTAAGTTGTCAAGGTGGTTGCCATGGTTGCTATGGTGTTTTGAGTGGTTGCTACAACATTGTTAGGTGGTTGCTAGGGTGTTGCTATGCAGTTGCTGTGTGATCTAAGTGTTTGCTAGAGTGTTCTAAGTTGTCAAGGTGGTTGCCATGGTTTTCTGCATGGTTGCTATGGTGTTTTGAGTGGTTGCTACAACATTGTTAGGTGGTTGCTAGGGTGTTTCTATGCAGTTACTGAGTGTTCTTAGTGGCTGCTAAAGTTGTGTCAGGGTGGTTGCTATGGATTTCTGCATGGTTGCTAATGTGTGCTATAACTAGGTGGTTGCTAGGGCGTTTCTATGCAGTGTGTTCCAAGTGGTTGCCAGGGTGCTCTAAGTTGTTTGTAGATGTTTTCTGTGGCTTTCTGCATGGTTACTGGGGTGAAAAACACCACTAGTAGATTATTATTTTAATCTGTTTGTCCAGTACTCTTCTTGCACATGAATGGGCAGTCTAGAGGTTACTTGCATATGATGGCATAATGTGACCTAATTATACAAGACTTTTTTTTTTTGTCTGATGGTTGTAATAGGACGTCTCCTTGAGGTCCTCCAGAACGAAGGATAAACAGACAGCCACAATCCCCGCCAGGACCAGACGTCTGGCATCAGAGGGAACTAGACAAGTCTGTCTGTCTGTCTGATGTCTGTCTGTCTGTCTGTCACAGAGAGAGTGATCTGATCCGCTGCAGTTCATTCTGCTTACAGAGGAGGAGTCACGGCAGGTAGACGTTCACGTTTATAAGAGCATAAAAATTCTAGATAAACATTTTTTTTTTTAGATGACTCATAAACAACAGTGGTGATGACAGCAGTAAACAACAATGAAATATTCAAAATTTCAAAATATAAGTATAATAATCATTTAAAATTATATTTTAAATGATTATTATACTTATATTTTGAAATATATATGTATGTATATATATATATATATATGAACCCAGATAGCAAGCAGCTATTGAAACAATGTTAAGTCAATGTGTATGCATTGAACTGCATTGAATTAATGTTACAAAGTTTTGTTGGTTCAACATCACTTTTGCACCTGCAATTGAAATAACGGTGAGATTTCAACAAAAAATAAATCCATTGAATTAACATTACACTATGATTGATAATACATCACTGCTGTTGAATCAACACTGAAATGATCAAAAAATAATCAATGGTAATAGTGTTGAATCAATGTTAGTGTGATGTTGGTTCTAAATCACTGCTGTTAAATACATTTTTTAATTAACAAAAAAATCTAAATCACTTTTGTTGAAACACTGAAAATACAACTGAAATGTCAGCATAAAATAATGTTGCCATCTGATGCACCAAAGAAAAATCAGAAAAAGAAGGGAAAAAATTCAATTCTATTTTATATGTTTACATTAAGAATGTAATCAATATTCTTTTTATTAAAGCAAAGTATGAATCTCATCAAGTTAGTGCCTTTAAGCAATGTGTGTGTGTGTGTGTGTGTGTACCTGGTATTTATCACGTTAAATCCACTCAGCCACAGAAATTAAATATCACCTGTCACTCAGTTGACATTAAAATCGTTATTTAATGTCATCAAAGTTTACATAAGAATTAACTTCTGCAAGTCCATTGAGGCAAAAGCACATCAGTATCACGTATTGGATTATAATAAAAAAGAATTAGCTCCTTAATTAATATAATATTTTATCAATAAAATCATAAAATTAACTACTGTAGACCTGGGTCATAGTGAAAACAATAACTTGTTTTGTGACATAATGTCATGTGAAATTTCAAAATACAAAAACCTGTTTGAAAAGTGTAGAAACTTTAGTTCTTCTGAAGTCAGTCCAATCTCTTTTATTTGTATAGCACTTTAGTTTGTTTAACTTTACTTTTGATAAACTCTCTGGTTTAAATGTGAGTTTCTCTCTTCTGCACCTGTGAGAGAAATCCTACATTGCTAGCGTTATTGTTGAAGCAGTGCTATTTCATGAGGTCTGGAGAAACGGAGGGCCCCAGCATCTGAGCTTCATTGATCTCCCTGGGTCATAGTGAAAACAATAACTTGTTTTGTGACATAATGTCATGTGAAATTTCAAAATACAAAAACCTGTTTGAAAAGTGTAGAAACTTTAGTTCTTCTGAAGTCAGTCCAATCTCTTTTATTTGTATAGCACTTTAGTTTGTTTAACTTTACTTTTGATAAACTCTCTGGTTTAAATGTGAGTTTCTCTCTTCTGCACCTGTGAGAGAAATCCTACATTGCTAGCGTTATTGTTGAAGCAGTGCTATTTCATGAGGTCTGGAGAAACGGAGGGCCCCAGCATCTGAGCTTCATTGATCTCTGCTTTTCTCTTTGAAACTTTCCCTCAATTCATATGCTTCATGTGGAGGAGGGTCCCGGATCTCTTTCCATGCATTATCATGGAAAATGGCTGCTTTTGAGACCAAACCAGCTCATTCCATATTCACATATACTGTTGCATGTGTCTAAAATTCAAATGGATGAAAACAGCACAGCAAACAGTATGCTAGTGGAAAGCTAATCATGACTGATTGGTTGTGATTTAGGAGATTCTTTGACTAGATTAGTAGGTTAATCAGCGGCGGTATTGCAGTAATCAGTTGGCATTGGTCTTTGTAGTGCGAGGTGTAACCTATTTAGTGATTTAGGCGGCTGCATATATAGAAAAAAAAACTCCTAACCCTAAAAAAATTCTAACAAAAGGTTTCTCAGCTGTTTTTTGTAGTATTAGGTGTCCTTAATAACATACTAAAAGTTTACTAAAGTTTGACCACTAGAAAGGTGTAATTTAGTATGTTTTTAAGTACATCTGATACTACTGTAAACCACTGAGAAACCTTTTGTTAGAATTTTTTTGGGGTCAAGCCATATTTGCAGCTGACTAATTATAATGACTGAGGTGAAAACGGCTCAAGAGGAGGAAACATCAGAGCGGAGAAACACCCAATACACATAGAGGAATACAATGTAGGAAATGCAACATCAACTAATATAATAATACAATAGAGCTAAGATTGAAATGTGTGTTAGTAAAATTTCACAGGAAAATGACCAGTTGATGGACTCACACTTTTGATGATTTATATTTTCTAATAATGTGTTAAATTAACATTTTAATAGATAGATAGATAGATAGATAGATAGATATGCAAATTCTGGACAAAATACTGCAATCCCAAATAAATAATTGTAGAGAGCTAATTAAACATTATTCCAAACTTAAATAAAAAAGCAACATACTTTGACAAATTTAAGACAATTTCTGACAAATCACAAAAAATAAACATCACAAAAAAATACACAATGCTATAAATAAGTATACAGCCTACAAAAATTTACCATCCCAAATAAATGATTGAAAGGTTATAAATTGAGTTCCTGCAAACTACTTTTTACATTGAGATATGTTTTTGAGGGAGTGGATTTTTATTTATTTTTTTACAATTTTTGAGCTATATTTAAATTATTTATTATATCTAAATATTTTATATTATTATAAATTATATAGCTGTAATTTACAATAGGAAAATAAGTATATATGTATATATGTTATATATTTATTTATAAATTATACATTATGTATTTATATAAAATAAATATTTGAATTTGAGATAGATAGACAGGTAGATCTAACCATTTACACAGATAGATAGACACCAAAAAGACAATTTTCTGATGTTTTCCATAACTTACAATAAAACTTGGGGCTTTAATAAACTTTTAATCTTTAATAAAGATGAAAATATTCAGAGTAAAGGGAAAAGACAGTCTTACACTTTCAAACAGACTCACACGCACCATTTGTCCTGTTGTAGAATAAACACAAAGGCCCCGGGCTGCTCTCGACAGGGGGCAGGGGCCCGTTTACTTGCTTTGGAGGTGCTAAACACCTTCCCCCTGAGATAAAAGATGATTAATACCTTTGAATGAGGGCCGCTTAGTGGCTCAAAGTCCCTTAAGTACTTAATTAGTGAAAGGATGGGTCTGACAGCACACACGACGAAGCTGAAGAGCTGAAGAATTTTAATGTAAGTATCTACAACAATTGGTTATTCATACACCTTAGAAGCCCAACTTTAAAAAAATGTCCATAACCACTGTAGATGAGGCATCTGGATCCATCCTCCTCCTCTGGAGCTGCAGCGCCCATCAGCGGTTCCCCGTCCTGTGGACTGAGCTCCACCTGCGAGCCGGCCGGGGTGCGTGTGGACCGCGTGATGCTGTATGAAGGTCTGCGGGAGGTCGAGATCATCGAGGACTGTCACTGCGAAGCCAAAATGAGCTGGTGTGTCCGAGTGCCATCTCTGAAAACATACCACTCTGAGACTCCGTACGAAAGCGTCATAGATGCAGGCAAATGTGTCGGGTCGAAAGGGGCACCAGGTAAGAGAAAACAAAATAAAAGTCCCTCTATAATCAGTGTGCACTAGAATATATCCCTAATAATCAATCCTGTTGGTTACAGGAAAGAAACTAGTAGCTTAAGTAGCAAATAATTACTGATATGCCTCTAAATTTATGCAATATTAAATGCATTATGATACTTTTTTAATTTTCTTAATGCCTACAGAGGGATTTTCATGCGTACCGACTAAGTTTGATTCCACCCTGATTGAAACTCCAAACAAAGTGGAGCTGATCCAAACGGTGGCCCAGTGCAAACTAATGGAGGGATGCTACCGAATCCCGTATGTAGAGTATCATTACGAGATCACGTACAACGATGACGGAGTCAAAGTAGAAAGTCTGAGGGTGAGTAAAACAACAAACAATTGCAATTGCATAAATTGAGCTTCAACTGTGAGTGAATGAAAATAAACAGTTTTTTCGTTTGTTTTCTTTTTGCACAATTCCCAGGGTTTTCAACCAATTTCTAATTGTGGTTATTTTTGTTTTATAGATTTTTAACAGTTTATTCTGAATGATATATTTAATCTCTGTCTGATTTGGTTGTTTTAGCCATCAAATGTAAATCCTCTCTCAGTAGTTGAATCTAAAAAATAGCATAATGTAATAATGTAGATGTTATTAATGAAAGTAGCATTTTAGATATTAGATATACATTCAATTCAAGATATTATTTTTTTGTTAACTCACTGGGTTAGTTAAAATTCTAGATTGGCAGTATGAAAAGGTTAATAAGAGCCTCTGACAGGACAAACCAATAACTAGTCTTTAGTAAAACGAAATTCAATCGTCCAGTGCTAAAGGATCTCACACCAGTAAATGCTGCTATAGTCAGAAAGGAAATGAGTCATTTGCACGTGACCCGTGATTGCTTTCTCCATTTGTTAGATCTAAAGATCAGGACCCTGATCCATTTCCCCCTCCAAACATTTCCAGTTCACATTTCTGTGATTGGACAGCATTGAACTCAAGTGTGGATATATGCATGAAGATGTCACACACTTAACGACTACTTAGTGCTTGAAAATCCATTAGCAGATTATACACAAAACAAATGTGCATGTCCTAAAATTTCATAAGAAGTGACTAATAACAATAGATGCTTTGATTTAATGCAAAAACATCATTTTAATATTATTTCTGAGGAAAAATGCCATGAAAAAGTGACAAAATGTCCCAAATATTAAAAATGCAGAGACAAAAATGAATTCTTTCTATTTTATGTTATCTAAACTCTGATGTGTTTCATTATATCCTTTTCTTGACCTATGAAGTTTAGTGTGGCTGTAAAGTATTTGACACGCATGTTCTTATAGGGTTATATTACCAAAAAAGGTCAAAATGACCCTGAAAATCAGTTTTAAATTCATATGAAGTGTTAGCTAATTTCTAAAACAGATACTAATCCATTTAATCATGTAAAATCCTCACATTTTGAAGTTTAATGCCGATCTCGTGTGCTTATTGAACACATCTGTGCCAGATGTTCTCCGTCTGACACTGCACTCACAAAAGGTGCGAGAAGGCCACAAATGGTCCCTGCAGGTGCCAGATCAAAGCACTTAGCATGTTAAAAGGCTGTTCCGCTTTAACAGCAGGTGGTGAACTGATGGCTCTCTCTTGTGTTGCTAATGTTCTTACAGGAAATAGATGTTGGCAGATGTTTGGGAAGCTGCACCTCAGGGAGCCGCTGTCTTCTCAGGTACACGCCGCACATCTGACTTTACACACAGCTAAGCAAACACACGATCACACACACACACACACACACACCCTTTACAGTGTGCACTAAAACACAGCGCTGTTTGCTTTGACACTTCGGTCAGTAATTTTATATGTGATTTCCATTTTTTTCTAATGCATATTTACAAATTTTCAGGGTAGTTTTTTTTTGGTGTTATGATGAAAAAAAAAAAGAAGGTATAACACCAACATGTCAAAAAAAACAAAAAAAAACAGAATCACTGAGTTGGAAAAGGAATCACCCCGTTGTGTCAGTATTTTGTTGAACCACCTTTTGCTTTAACTTTGCTGAACTGCTCAAGTTCAGTTCAATTTGATGCTGTGTGTTTGTGGACTACAGTCACAGATTTTCAGTGGCGTTTAAGTCTGGGCTCTGACAGGCCATGCAAGCACATTCACCTTTTTCTCCTTCAATCACTGTGTGCTCAGTTCTGCTGTGTGCTTTGGCTCATTGTCATGTTGGAAGGTAAACCTCTTCCCATTGACAACTTTCTGGCAGACAGACTTCACTGTGCTTCTAGGCATTGATAAAGCCTTTGAAATGTTATTGTCTCCATCTCCTGACTTGTGCCTGTCCACAACTTTATCCCGGAGCTCTTTTGACAGTGCCTTGCCACCCAGAGTTGATTGTTTGCTTCAGTTGTAGGACTGAGATGCTCCAGGAAAGCTCTTTTCATGCTGAGCTAAACAAAATGAGCCCAGCTGATCACAGTTGAAAGTCAAATGGCTTTGTGTGCCATTGAATTAATAAATTAGATATACAGTATACCTAATACAGTAATATGACAATTAACTCAGACTTATAACATGATGAAATACAGTGTAAAAATAATAATTCAACAGTCTGACAGTAGATAGATAGAAAAATGTTACACTGTAAATAAAATCAGTCAATGAATAAAGTATAAAAATATAAATAAAGAGTATATATAAAGTAAAAATATAAAGTAAAATATTGCGTATTTGGAAATAATTAACTTTTATTTTTAATGTTTTTGTCTCTTATGTTCACAAAGGCTGCATTTATTTGGTAAAAAATACAGTAAAAACAGCAATTTTGTGAAATATTATTACAAGTTAATTGTTTTCTATTGTAATATATTGTACATTTATTGCTGTGATCAAAGCTGAATTTTCAGCATCATTACTCCAGTCTTCAGTGTCACATGATCTTCAGAAATCATTCTAATATCTACAGTAAATTACATTTTAAATATTCAAATAGAAAACAGTTATTTTAAATTGTAATAATATTTCACAATATTACTGTTTTACTGTATTTGATTAAATAAATGCAGCCTTGGTGAACAGAAGAGACAAAATCATTAAAAAATGTTAATTTTTCCAAACTTTTGAAGACAGTTCTTTCAAAAAGAATAAATTATTCCAAACTTTTTATTCCAAATTATTCCAAACTTTTGACCTGTAGAGTATATAAAAGTATAAATGCATAGGATCTATCGATATGTAACTTGTAGAATCATGTTGTTTCTGTCCTAAATGAAAGTTTTACTCAAACTCACTGAGTGAGCTTTCTATTAACATTAACCACTTTAAACAGCTTTTGTACATGTTAATGAACAAATGTAAAAATAGACACACAAAATGTTCTAAGCTTAGTGAGAAATAATGCTATGGCTCATTATAATGTGTGATACTTGGATGGTGAACATGCTGGTAAATTTTGACAATAACAGATCTTAGTTAAGTTTCATTAGTGAGATGTCCAAAACTGCATTTGATGTTATATAACACTATATATAATTTAACATAATTTTAAACAGATTTTCTAAAAGTATTGCTCATTTGTAAGGTTTAAACCGTTTTTTTAACACTTTTTTTTTTTTTTACAGTTGAAAAGCTATTTAGTGCACCTTTAAACCTTTGCCATTGATGATTTGAGTGCATTTTATTGGATGTTGACTAACACACTCGTGTTTCTGCAGGAGCGCGTCTGATCTCGGTGAATGTCTGCTGTGGGCTGAAGGACAGGGCAACGCTTGTGTTCCTCAAGACTACGAGAGCCACACTTTCCTCAGTCAACATGGCCAAATCCGCACTGTTCTGGCCATCACTTCCTGTCTATGCCAGTCTTAAACACGGCGTCCTCTACTGGACGACATCAGCAACTACAGTGGGAACATGATGAAGTTTCCCTCATGGATCATTTTCACGGCTGTAATGTCAGGTTTGGGGATGTGCATTAATGGACGGCAATTTAAAGGAATGATGCAATGATGCTGTTCAGATATTTCTGTAATATATGTAAATTATGTAAAAAGTATTTTGTAAATAAAATCTATGTCAGAAAGTGAAGAAACAGCCTTTCAGTCCACCATTTTTGGATTACATGACAATCTGCACAGAGCAACTAAAGAAAGTTACACATGCAAATAATGTCTCAGTTTTAAATCACGTTACAAATCAACCAATAATTAAAGCGTTAGCAAGAAATGACAAAGAAGTGTTGCATATGCAAAATAGCCTAAATACTGTAATCCCAAAAATATCATTAGAGAGACAATTAAAAATTATTACAAACTGCAATAAAAAAAACAATCCAATCTGGAAAATGTGGGTAAGACCATTTCTGGCCTTATTTGGAAATTATAACTATGAAATGTAAAATTCACAATTTATACACAAAATTATAAACAAGTATACAATAAACAGCTTATATACAAAAATGTGTAATCCTAAATAAAATAAAAAATATAACATTAGAAATATATAAACTCGTGCATTAACATTTGCATATTTAAAGAGATAATATAAGATAATAAGAGCCAATTTCTTACATTTCTGGAAAATATTCAATTCACAATCCAAAACAATTTTTCCAGAAATTAAATGTGCAATTCACAATCTATGTATTTTTTACAAATTTATAAAACTTGTACAAAACTTGTAATCCAAAATAAATAATTCTAAGATTATACATTTATAAACTTGTGGAAAATAATTAGATATACAGTATACCTTGTACAGTAATATGACAATTTTCTCAGACTTATAACATGATGAAATACAGTGTAAAAATAATAATTCAACAGTCTGACACTAGATAGAAAGATGTTATACTGTAAATAAAATCAGTCAATGAATAAAGTATAAAAATACAAATAAAGAGTATATATAAAGTAAAAATTAAATATATAAAGTAAAATAAAAAGTATTTTGAAATAATTAACTTTTATTTTTAATGTTTTTGTCTCTTATGTTCACAAAGGCTGCATGTACAAAACTTGTAACCCAAAATAAATAATTCTAAGATTATACATTTATAAACTTGTGGAAATTTTGCATTAAGATTTGCATGCTTTTAAAGATGATAGATAGATAGATAGATAGTCAAACTTTAATGTCATGTTTATAGTCCCTGCACTGTCCAAATGCACATTTCAAATGCTTTGTTGCAACTGTTTGGGATTTGTGACATATAAGTGAGTAAACTGCAACATCAAAAACATAGATAGTACAGTGCAGACAGTATTTGCACCTAATATAGTCTTTTAGGGCATAAGAGGCATGCACCGTGATGGTGCTTCAACTGGGGCCACCTACTTTGATTTTAAAGCTTGGAAGATATCAATCAAACAAGTCAACAACTCTGAAACTAGAATAACTGATTGCAAAGATGCCATTGCAACAACAGTCTCCTTCGGCATTAATATAACAAGAGCTCATGCCATCCATTAAGCTTATGCAATCCATTAGTATTAAAAAAAAACACACTGTAATGAGCCCCTAATGAAAACAAACAATTACAGATGAGAAATTAAACCAGTCTAAACCACCCAGCGAAGTCACTCGCACTTACATTTAACTATTGATTCACACTCGAGCCCGCATTTATTCAAATAAATGTTCCCTTTAACATACGAGCCGCGCAAGATTGTAAATCCAACTGTTTGAGCAGGTGTGTTTGCCATTAACATGAAAACACAAGGCACATGCTGGAACCTTCTCACGGTGTTTGTCGAAATAATTATTGCTCCTGTATCACATTATCCTCCTTTGTCTCACTTAATGGATCCATTTAGAAGGAAGTCAACCGCCCGCGGTGCGCCAAATCCACTAAACGCCCTAAATGTGGTAGTATAATTAAACATCTGAGCTACAATTTAACAATTTTATTTCTTTAATCGACATATATGAGGCTTGTTTACAGCATAGCACGGTAGATAAACACTAATTTCCTCTCAGGATCTCCCCACAGGACCACCAGTCCAGTTCGCACCTTGTTAACACCGCCATTAGATTTGCTTTACATTCACTGATTGCTGATTCACATTTGCGACTAAATAGCAGCTCTTTACGGCTGTTGACCGAAGACTTTGCCAACATCATATAAAACGCTGCCAGTCTGGCTGGGCTTCATTCAGTCCAGCTCCAGCAACCAAAGAGCATCTCTTGAGGAGCAGTGAACATGTTGCCCGCGGTGATCTGGATCTCCGTGATGGGACTCGCCATCTGCAGACCGTCTCCGAATCAGCTGGAAACCGAGTCTGCAGAAGTGCGCTCGGAGGCCATCAGGAGGCTGTTGGAGGTGTTTGGGATGGAGGATCCTCCTGCTGCTCTGGTTCGGGGACACAAACAGCCTCCTCAGTACATGCTGGACCTGTATAACACCATCGCGGATGTGGACGGAGTCACCAAAGACCCGACGCTCCTGGAGGGAAACACCGTCCGCAGTTTCTTCGATAAACGTAAGCTTCTGATTTCTTTATTGATTTGAAGCGGGACAGTGAACATAAAGCGCACACTTAGGATGGAAAATGTTGGGAAGCACTTGTCTTTCAATTTTTATTTATTTTTTGTCATACGTTTAATTGTACAAAACAAAAGAGATTTATTCTCTCTTTTTAAAAATGTTTTATTTTTAAATTTATTTTAATATTAAAGTTTTAGTAGTTTTGTGTTTTTGTGTTTTCTTTTTTTTTTAAATAAAAAATGCCTCTATAGTTTTTTTTCTTCGTATTTTAGTATAACTAAATGAAAATGAGGAATGGCAACTAGCCAGCTAGCCATACGTTTAATTTTTAAAATATTTTATTTTAGTCAATGTTTATTTTTTTTCAAGTAGGTCTAACTTTCTTAATGGCTTTAGTTTTAGTTAGCTATAATAACGTTTGCTTATTAATCTTAACTCCATCTCATCTGTTTAAAAAAAAAAAAATTAATTTTTAGTTTTTGCAGTTTTATCAAGATTGAACTATTTAACTATTAAAAACTAATTTAACCAGAAGCCTTTAGTTATTTTTTTAATCATGAGATCAATCAACAAAAAATCAAGTAAATTCTCAATGTTTTGATACTTTATTTTATTTTAATTTTCAAATATGGAATTGCATAAGAGTATATAGGCCTACTTAAAAGTTTAAGTTTTGTATGCTTTAGTGTTTAACTTTAGGTGTGCATGTACCTAAATATTCAAAGATTGGGAGACTAAATCTGAATTATTAATAATATTAATTACATTTTATTTTATGTTTTTGCAGTTTCGTCAAAAGTAGATATTAGTCTACAAAATTAATTTCAAACATTTAAACAGAAGTCTATTGCATTTTTAAAAAATATATATGATAAACATTCAGTCAACTAAAAATCAAAACATTAAGTACTTTTTAATTTAAATTAATAAAAAAAATAATATTTTTTATTTTAATTATGAAATATGAAATAGCTTGACCCTACGAATGTATAATTAAAAATATAAATGTATGTTTTAGTTTTTAGCTTAACTTTAGTCAAGCATGTACTCAAATATTCAAGATTGCGAGACTAAGTGTAAGGTTTTGAGAATGGCTCATTAAGACCCATATCCATCAGCCGCTAATCTGAATATTGAGGTGGGGGATGGTGTAAAATATGTATAAAGTATGTGCGATTGTGTGCCATTTCTCATCACGACTTCTCTCTTTAGTGCATAGTGACCAAATCGAGTTCCTCTTCAACATGTCCACGGTGGCCAAGAGTGAGAAGATCCTCACGGCCGAGCTTCATCTGTTCAAGCTCAGACCACAAGCATCGCTCACGTTCAACAGACATCACTTCTGTCAGGTACAGTATTTACAGTCCCAAAAGAAAATGATGCGCTTCTGAAAGAACGTTCTCCAGGTTAATCATTTCAGTGATGTTTGTGTGTACAGGTCAGTGTCTATCAGATCCTCGATAGCAGCAAGAAGAACGTCTCACAAGGGAAGAAGCTGCTCTCATCCAGACTGGTGCCCATCCACTCCAGCGGCTGGGAGGTTTTTACCATCACTCAAGCTGTGAGTATGAACTAAAATCACACTTTCTGAAAGCTTTTCTCTGCCTATGTAGAGTCTTCCAAACTTGCTGCCTTAGAAGGGAGCCGAATAGGTTTTAGAACTCACCCAAAGAGTTCCTCGTGCAAATTCTTCTCAATAATAAATGTTTTATATCTCAAAGGTTCGCTCCTGGATGTCAGATGAGCGCAGTAATCTGGGGCTCCTGGTCTCAGTCAGGACTTTAGCAGGTCTTCAGATGGACCTGAAAACCGTGCGTTTCGCATCGGGTCGTAACCACCATCACAGCAAACAGCCCATGCTGGTCCTCTTCACCGATGACGGCAGACGAGCGGCTTCTCTGGAGATCACGCCTAAAGGTATGACATATCGGTCTCTTAAATAGACTGAGATAGTCTGCTGCTTCTCAGATGTTTCTCCACAATAATCTCAAATGAGCGATAGTTTAGGCTGTAGGGATTCACATTAATACATCTTGTCCTAAACCAGGAAGTTTGGAGATCTGTGGAAAGGTTTGAATAAAAAAAAAAAAAGAAAAAATACATAATAAAAATATATAGTGTTATAGTAAATAATAAAAAATACAATGTTGTATAACTAATAAAAATATACTAAATAAATAAAAAAAACTAAAATAAATAAATTATTTAAAAAGTTGTTTAAAAAATAATACTTAATATAATACATCTAACAGTACAGTACTACAAAGAGTAGGGAAAAAATGTACTAACGTAATAGAAACAGGGTTATTATAGTTAACTAAAATATTAAAAAAAAGAAATGTTGCTTGAAATAATTTAGCAAATAAAATATTAAAAAACTTGGAAAAGTAAAAAAAACTGTGTAAAAATGAAACAATAAATAAATAAAATTAGTGATGTAGTAAATAATAAAATAGTGTTATAGTAAATAAAAATAATAATGTTATAGTAAATAAAAATTAAATGTTTAAATAAAAAGTGCTTAAATAAATAAAATAAAACAAATAATATAATGCATCTAATATAATACTAAAGGGAAAAAATGTAGTAATGTAATAGAATAGTTAACTAAAATTAAAACTTAAAACCCTAAAAAAAGTACTTTAACTTAAAATGTTTAAAATATACATACAACTATATGAAAATAAAAATAAAAAATTGATATTTTTTTAAATACAAAAATTAATAAAATCAAATAAACCAACTAATTTGCTAAAACTTTAAAATTAAAATGTAGTTGAAAAAAAATTTCTAACTAATCCAAAATATTTAAAAAATAGCATTTTGATAATAAAGTAACACAAAATATTTCCACATTATAAATATATAATTCTATTATATGTTTGAAAGAAATATTAATTTTTCACCGTATAAAATGGGTCTTTTCTACATGAAAATATATAACTGACTTGCACATTTTAAGTTGAGGGTGCCTTGCACAAGGATGATCATATTTAGGGGCAAAATAAACGATTTGTCTTTGTCTTCAGGTTCAGATGATTCTCCCAGGCTCCCGTTTCCCAGCCTCCCTCTCCCGGCTGCGGCCCGTCGCAGCGCTCGCTCCATAGACTATGATGAGAGCGGGGAGAAGATGCCGTGTCAGCGTCTGCCGCTCTACGTGGACTTCGAGGAGATCGGCTGGTCCGGGTGGATCGTGTCTCCGCGCGGATACAACGCTTACCACTGCAAAGGCTCCTGTCCGTTTCCCCTGGGTCAGAACATGAGGCCCACCAACCACGCCACGGTCCAGTCCATCATCAACGCCCTCAAACTGACCAAAGGCATCGAGACGCCCTGCTGCGTGCCTGACAAGCTCTTCAGCATCAACCTGCTGTACTTTGACGACGATGAGAACGTGGTGCTGAAGCAGTATGATGATATGGTGGCCGGCAGCTGCGGCTGTCACTGAGCAACCTCATTCATCTCTGGACGGCTCACACACTGACCTCTCTGTCAGAAATCTGGACTGGATGAAACTGTCAAATATGTAAATAGAGATCTAATTTTAATATATGGAGGAGCTTGAGTTGGTCGCTTATAAAAGATGTACATTTGTATATTGCATGTTGTGAACTATTATAAAGTCTAAATAAATTCTTACACAGAAATGATGGATAGAGTTGGTTTTTATTTCTGTTGTTGTTGTTGCTATAATTTATATATCGCAAAAAAAAACAAAAAAAAATTATTTCCTATTTTCCTTTTTTAATTTCTTTCCCCCATTTTTTCAGCTTTTTCCTTTTCCTCTTTTTATTTTCTCATTTCCCCTTCTTTTTTTCTATCTTAAAAATAATGGATAGTTGTTTTTTATTTCTGTTTGTTGCCAGATAATTTATATATAGCAAACTTTTTTTCTTTTCCTTTTTCCCCATCTTTCTTTCCCCACTTTTTTCTTCTTCCCCTTTTCTTTTTTAAATTTCCCTTTTTTAGTTTTTCCTTTTATATATTGCAAAAAAAAAAAAAACATTTTCTTTCCCCCTTTTGTTTTTCACTTTTCCTTACCCATTTGCTTTGTTCTTTACCCATTTTTTCTTCCACTATTTCTTTTCTTTTTACTTTTACCCTTTATTTTCCCATCCCCCTTTATTTCCCCTTCCCCCATTCTCACACATTTAATTTTTTCTTCCCCCTTTTTCTCTTTTCTCCTTTTCTTTTTTCCTTTCCACTTTTGCTTTTTCTTCCCCCTTTCTTGTTCTTTACCTATTTTTTCTGTTTACTTTTGCCCTTTTTCTTTTTTCTTTTGCCTTTCCCCTCTTCCATTATTTTTGTTGCTTTTTTCCTTTCTTTTCTTCTATCCCAGTTTTCTTTCTCCCTTGCTTTTTGCCTTTTTCTTTTCCTCTTTTCCATTTGTCATTCACCTTTTTCTTTCCCCTTTATTCTTTTCTTCTTTTTTGCCTTCCCCCTTGTTTTTCCACATTCTTCCCCTTTTCTTTTATACCCTTTTTTTCTTTTTCTCTCCTGTTTATTTTTCCTCTCTCCATTTTTCAACCCCCTCGTTATCTTTTCTTTTTTCCCCTTCTCTCTTTCTCCTCCACTACAAACAGAGGGTTTTGAAGACTCTCAGTATCTGTATCTTCATGATTCAGCTGAACTCACATTAATCAGTCCATTCACTGTAAAAAAAAATTCCGTAAAATTTACGGTAAAAAACCGGCAGCTGTGGTTGCCGGAATTTTACCGTTAAAAATACGGTAGCAACGTTTTAGGTTTTAACTTAAATTTACAGCTAAATACCGTATTTTCATTAACTGATGTAATGTTAATATACCAACCTATTGAAGTACTGAAATCTGTTTTGCACCTTTGTAATACACTGATAACCACCAAATGCAGATGGTGATGAGAAAGTCACATGATGAACCAAAGCCCATCACAAGCAGCTTTTAAATAATAACATATATAGAAGGTGCACAGTGTCATTCACACAAACACTAAACACCATCATGGTAACACACATGAAACTGAAATAATGCAATAAACATTCATTTAACAACATTAGGTGTAACACACAACCCTAATATACAAAACTGATAAGAAAAAACTAAGAAACATAGTTATTTCAACAAAAAACATCAAATTTGAAATGTAACACAGGGAATTCTGGGAATGTCAATTTACGGTTATTCACTGTAAATTATACGGTCTTTTTCACTTCCAAAAACGGTATACTACCGTAAAATTAATGTCCAATACATGTAATGTCAGTAACAGTTTTTCACTGTATATAGTAGGGGAATTTACCGTTAACCATTTAACAGGTTTTTACTGTAGCATTTTTACAGTCTTTTACCGTTAATTTCACGGTCATTTTTTACAGTGTTGAGCTGCAGATCCAAACATCACCAGAAGATGGTGACAGATAAAGCAGAAAAAAATGGTCCAAAACAAAGAAATACAAACGTAACATGAATATAACATGTAGTAACTTTAGGCTGATCTGCAGCATCTGATCTGAATCTGTCCAGACATGTTTTCCCAGAGCTCATGGAAAAGTGCCAACAAAAACAGCAGCTGACAGGTAGAGATGAGAGCTGTTACCCAGAGAGAAAGTAAAAGAACAGCAGGTAAACAGCTGCCAGATCAACTGATACCGTTCAGCCTCTGTGCCAACCAAGTCAACTCACAATAGTGCGCTGATGCACCAGTGCTTGCATATTTAATGCCATAATTGAGATGCATTTGCCGATATGAACACAATACACCAGGCTGCTTTCCATGAGATCTCTAGTCAAAACGCTTTAAAATGACTGAAACCAGCATGAAGAGAGAGTTTCTCACAAAACTCATGACTGGGTCACATTTCGCTCCTTAAAAAGAAAGAAATAAGAGTCATCATTGAAATAATGGTGGAAAAAGTCAAATATGAAATGTTCATAAACATTACAGTAATTCGCAGTGTTATTGTTAAACTATTTAAAAAAAAAACATTTTGTTAATTGATATAAAGTTGAAATTAAAATTAGATGAAAATGATGAAAAAAAATGAAAAGTATAAATGTTGCCTTGGCAACTAGCTGAAATAAGTTGCCAAGGATAAGTACTAAATTACTAAAAGTGAAATAAAAACAAACAATTTTCGAAATATAAAAAAATGTAAAACTTACAAAAAAACAAAAACAAAATGACTAAAATCTAAACTAAAAGTTAAAAACTAAAATCTAATTCAAAGTATTAATGAAAACTATAATGGTATACAAATAACACAAAAATAACACTGGTTATGAGTATTTGGGACATAAAACATGCCTATTTGTCATGTCTTTTTAAGTCTTTTTATTTTATAAATTTTTCTTCCTTTTTCCTTAGTTTAAAAAATACGCTAAAACTAAAATGTCTAAATATTAATATAAACTATAAAAGTATATAATTAAAACAAAATTAATAATGAGTATTTGGGACAGAAAAAAATGCTTAGTTGTCATATAAATCCTTAATATTTTGATTGTTCCAAATGTACTCATTTTATTTGATACATTATTATGTATTTATTTGTTTGTTTGTGTAATTTTATTTTATCAAGTATAATTAGTTTTTCTTTTAATAGGCAGTGACATTTTCACCAGAAAGAAAGTGATGTATAGTTTTTTGGAGGAGTCGGTTTGTTCTTCCAAGGTCTTGTTGTCCACTGTTATACAGTAGAAATCTGTTCACTACTCTCTATCACACAATAATTCTGTGAAAATGAACATTGAATATTGTTGTACATCACTTCACCGTAGCAGCATATTTCCAGCGTTCGCAGCATGTGAACGGGTCAGTAATCTGACGCTCGGGTGTCTCCCCCGCTCTCCCCTGACCGACAGGACACATTCACGTCCAAGAGAGACCGCCATTCACAGCAGCTAAATGATGAAATGCTGCCATTATCAGAGAACTAAAGGCCTCGCAGCGGCCGACACCTGATCTGCCATGTCTCACTGCAGCCTTTTGTGCCAGTATTTCATATCTGAAATATCTGCTGCCATTCGGCTGCAGTCGAGAGCCAGTTTGCCATGGAGCTGCAAGAATGGGGAACAAACAGACCATCTTTACATCCCAGCAACTGGACGCATATCAGGTCAGGCATCATTTTTGATAGCACACTACTGTTCAAAAGTCTCTTCTGCTCACCAAGGCTGCATTTATTTGATCAAAAATACAGTAAAAACAGTAATATTGTGAAATATTATTTCAATTCAATATAACTATTTTCTAATTGAATATAGTGTAAAACTTAATTTATTTCTGTGATGCGCAGCTGAATTTTCAGCATCATTACTCCAGTCTTCAGTGTCACATGATCTTCAGAAATCATTCTAATATGCTGATTTGCTGCTCAAGAAACATTTCTGATTATTATCAATGTTGAAAACGGTTGTGCTGCTTCATATTTTTTGTGCAAACCGTGATATATTTGTTGCCAGATTCTTTGATGAAAATTGAAAATAGAAATATTTTGTAACATTATAAATGTCTTTACTGACACTTTTGATC